AGAGAGAGAGAGAACTAGTAATAGGAATTGAAAAATTAGTTATAATATTTCAAAATTTTAAGACTTTGGTTATGATAAAGGCATGTGTAATAATCTTCTATATCTCACAATGTATTTGGGATCTGTTCGGACATATTAAACTGGGGACAGCCTTAAATTCATACTCCTGAAACATTCATTCAAATGAGTACCCCCTTATTCTGCGATAAAATTTCACACACTCCCCAGATTAACACGGGCCAAGGCTGGCATGCCAGTGCACGCTGTCATGTGTAAAAGGAACGAAAAGAGACAGAAACTCGTTTGCAACAGCGAGGACAAGGAAACCTGGCCTGGAAAGACGAATTTCTGCATTGAAAAGAAGTCATTCTCCTTGTGCGAAAAGCACTTCTTCCGTGAAGCTTATCCAGGCATTGAACGTGCAGTCGGCCACCGTAAAATACTATTTCCGGGAGCGCTCATGACGGCCCGATCACCAGAGACGACAATGTACTCGCTTCTTTAACTTCATTAGTGCTGCAGGCTATGCGAGAAAGGGTTGTTTCTTTTTCCTTGGGAAAAAAAAAAACATCGCGACTATTAATCGTGCTGGGTGAATGGGGTGTTAAGTTTTTAATGGACTGAATCGCACAACCTCCGAATTATATTTTCCACTTATACACTCCAATATTCAACGAACAATGAATTTTCTTACTAAAATATCAAATTTCAGAAGATTTATTAAAATTTTATAAACATCGTACGAACATTTCTAATTTATCAGCAACCCCGGCAATGTCAACATGATTATTTTTCCTTGAAAAACGTAAGAAAACAAGAGGAATAAAAGGATATCAAAATTCTCTAAATGATATATATAAACTACGAGTTTGTGGTTGAGCAGGGGCGTAGCTACCACCGTATCAGCTACATAGATGATATGGGGCCCCCTAGCCAAAGGGGCCGCAACATGTGTAACTACAGTCAACTAACAGGGTTCTCATATCTGAAAACGGGCCCCCGAAGGAATTTTGATACAGGGCCCACTCAGAACTAGCCACGCCAGTGTGGCTGAGATAGCCTAGTGGTTATGGTCAGGGACGTCTTGAGGCCATGGGCCTCTACGCAAAAGTAGGCCCTAAGCCACTACACAAATGTAGGTTCCACCTATGACGCTTAAAAGTAATCTACATAGCATATGTAGTTAAAAACTCGTATAAAAAATAATCCGAAACAAGTAAATGTTCATGACTTATAACCGCACAAACCGGCTGGACCGACTTCCGCCTTTTGACTGAATGAGTAGTGATGTTGTACGGTGATAGGCCTAGGCCTACACATACACGACGGTTATCACAAGTAACCAGTTCACACATCGTCCGAAATTCTGGGATTTTCGGAGAATACAATCGGAAGTAAGATTTGACCGTTGAAATTATTAAGGCTTAATTAAGGTTGAGGCCCTGGGCCCAGTTGGCCTATGCTTTAAGACGGCCCCGGTTATGGTCACGAACTCGTGGTCGGAGTGTCATGGATTTGAGTACTGGTGCCACTGAAGATGCGCCGTGTACATACGGTCGGTGAACATTAAATTTGTCGAGGATCAATGCCCTCCCGTTGGGGGGTGGGGGGGGGGGGGGGGGGGGGGCCCCCCCCACCCCCTTGAGTGCGCCACTGGTTAACAGTACAGTGTTTTTAAAAATTTCAAGATGCTCTATGAATGCTTTTTCTCCATTTGAATACGTGAAGGGATCGTTCATTTAATATTACAGTATAAGAGAAAAAACGCGGAACACATTTTATACCAGAAAAAATGGATCAACTCAATTGAAAATGGGAAGTATGATAAAAAATGCTGCTCTCTAAAGGATAGCGAAGCCAGAATACCATATTGATTTTTTATTTCTTTTATATCTGAAAAAAAGTTCCAAATTCCGAGACCTATTCTTTAACATTAACCGAAGACGGCCTTAAGAGAAGTAAAAGCTGCAGAAAATATTTTTAGTATTTTAGTAATACAGAAATATAAAAATTTATACTTCAATATTAATTTGTGTTACCAAAGAAATGATTACAATTTGACCTTTTTTTTACTTCATACAGGGAACTTCTCACTTTGTGAAATATATTTGCCGACTATTGGAAGCTGTGATTACGTAAATGCATTCTTCGAACCAGATCGGTTTAAGTTACGTTGTGTGGAAAAAGAGAAGCTATAACAATTATTGCGGGTTTTTTTTATATATTTTATTATGCATACCTGTAAATTGGAAGGTTTAGCTAAAATGATACACACGGGAATATTTTATAATTTAAGAATATATATATATATATATATATATATAAGAAATATTTTAATTTAAGTTATTTAATAACTCCTATGCATATGTAGAACATTTGCGTGTTAACAAAATGTTTTCTACAATACAAATGACTAAAATAATTACGATTAACTTGGAAACTTAGAATGAGCTTTGAAAATAGTGAAATTCATCCAGATCGTTATAAAGAAAATTCATAAATTACGAGCAAATAGGCTGAAAAAGACACGCCAGAAAACAAAAATCATTCAAATCCCTTAACAGAGGTGGGGATGAAAAAGAGAGCCAAAAAAAGCAGCCAAAAGCGCCAGCCATTTCAATTTTCATCCGTGATAATTCGTCGAATAAATCCGAAATGTGACATGATTAATTAAGACTAATAAGAGAACAGAACGGAGAGGGGGTGGGCCAAAGCACGTGTGATCACCCGGGGTTCTCATTGACTCCCCTAATACAGCGATAAACCTCCAGATAACTATAACCGCGAAACAAAACGCCGTACGGGTAAACAGCGAATGAGATTCAATTGGCCAAAGAGCTCCGGGGCGAAAAAAAGAAATTTTCCCTAGAAAAGGGAAAAAGAAATTTGCAGAATAGGAAAGAGAGGTTTTATAGAGATCGGATGCGGTTGCTATGGCGACCGCTGTCCATCCGAGCGAGGGAAGCTCAAGATAAGGAGCACAACATCCTTTTCTATCTTTATTTATTTTCCTTCTCTCTTTTCTTTTTTTTTTCTGCACATTTTTTTCTTTTCTTTTTGTAGCTTTTTCTGCGACTGACTTTTCCACTTTCATTTTATGCTACCTTATTTTACCTACTTTTTTGGCAGATAAGGTTTATGTTGCGATAGGAATGAAAGGGGGGGGGGATGTAGATGAATTAGGATGTTTTGTACTCTTTTCCTGCTCGAACACCTGCCCCCCCAAGGTGGAAATATATATATTTATATTTTCAACAGATGCGAAAGTTTGATTTCTCAATAAGAGCAAAATTCGTGGGGGTGGTGATCGATATAGAATTCATCGGTGATTTCTCTCTAACTGAGTGAGTGCGAGTTGAAAAAACACAAGTATGAATTCTACTAGAATTTATATACTTGAGATAACATGATTTGTTGAATACAATAAAATGAAAGAGAAATTCT